AAGGGAAGCTCCCCAAGCCACGTATCGCTCCAAAAGGAAATAGATTTACCATTACCTATTTGAAGCTTTGCATGAGATCTAAGACAACCTCCAATGGCATCATCCTTAATATAGTTGTTCACAATTCCCCTCCAAATCCAAGAGTCTTTTTGGGAGATAACCCTTTTGATATCCATGGAATAACAACTCACATTGTGTTTACTGCATAAGAACTTCTTCCACATCGAGTTTTTATCATTAGCAAATTTCCAGATCCACTTACCCAGCAACGCTCGATTTGTAAGTCTCAAATCAGCAACTCCCAAGCCTCCACCACTGAACGACCTGCATATAGTTTCCCAACTCACCTAATGCAATTTCTTCTTGTCAACCCCTCCCCCCATAAGAAATTCGACATCAAGGAATTTAACCACTGACAAATAGTAGAAGGCATCTTAAAAATAGATAGGAAGAAGATAGGTAAGGATGATAATACCGACTTAATAAGCACCAATCGACCAGCCATAGATAAAGTAGTTTTCCAACCTGCCAATTTCTTATTGAAGTTGACAATAACCGGCTCCCACAGCTTCTCTGAGTTCTTTAACGCCCCTAAAGAAAGGCCTAAATATTCGGTGGGAAAAGAACCAATAGAACAACCAATGTCCCTAGCCCAATCATCCAGGATGTCACTCTCCACATTAATTCCATAAAGCTTGCTTTTAGCTAAATTTAGTTGGAGCCCCGTCATTAAGCTAACAATCCTCATAACTCTTCTAACATTCTTAATCTGAGTGATAGATGCTTGACAAAAGATTATTAAATCATCTACAAACTGCAGATGGGACAAAGTAAATGATTCCTGATTCTTGCCGAAAGAGAACCCTTGAAAAAAACCTGAATCCACTGCTTTAGTCAACATCAAATGAAGTAATTCTCCAACCACATTGAACAGAAGAGGAGAAAGGCTACAACCTTGCCTCAAGCCTTTATCAATAGAAAACTCCTCAGTAGGTGACCCATTCACTAGAACCGAAATTGAAGCAGTGGAAATACATTGTGCGATCCAAGAACCCCACCTCTCACCAAAACCCATTTCTTTCATTAGCCTTTGAAGAATCTGCCATTCTACAGTATCGTATGCTCTGCTGAAATCCACTTTAAATACAACCCCTTTACGACCTTGCCTCCTCCAAAAATCAATTCCTTCATTAGTTAAAAATGCACAGTCCAACAATTGCCTTCCCGGAATAAAAGCAAACTGTGAAGGACTAATAATATCCTTAACACAGGAAATAAGTCTCTTTGAAATAACTTTTGAGAGTAGTTTATACAGGCTTCCCACAAGACTAATGGGTCTATAGTCTTTAATGCTCTCGGGATTACCTTTCTTAGGAATCAAGGTAATAAAAGCATGATTCACCCCATGAGCCCACTTTTTCCCTTTATAGAAATCTGGAAAAAAAACACCATAATCTGCTCCTTTAGATTGTTCCAATATTTCTTATAGAAACCCATGGAAAAACCATCTGGACCAGGAGCTTTTGCACTATCCGAAGGAGAAATTACTTGCCACACTTCTTGCTCAGAGAATTCCGCCTCCAAATATGCGCTTTGAGATACTGTTAAGTGCGCAAAATCAAAATTTAGGCCCTCAACCTCCAAGGCTGAATTTGTATTGTAAGCAGCCTTGAAGAAATTGAACACACTGCCTCTTATTTTATCTTTGTCCAAGATTGGTTCTCCATCAATTTTCAATGAATGAATAGTATTGACTCTATTCCTTTTCATAGCACTGAGGTGAAAAAACCTCGTATTTCTGTCTCCGTTTTTAATCCATCTATTTCTGGACTTCTGACACCAAATACTCTCCTCGATCCTTAATAGCCTCCACAACTCCTTATTGAATTCAACCAACTGATCCCACTCCCCCTTAGATAAGATTCCACCTTGTGACTTAATTTCCAAGTCATTTATCTCCGCTTCAAGCAACGAAATGGAGTCTGGCAGTCCTAGATGACTACTTCCAGGCCATCTTCTTATCTGTTTTTTTGCAGTTTGTAACAACCTGAAAATTCCCCCATTATTCTTCTTATTCTTCTCAACTGCCAGCAAGTCTTCAACAAATGCATCGAAGCCTTGTTCCTGTAAAAGAAAATTAAAGAATCTAAAAGGTTTGGGGGCCCAATTGAGACTAATAACTTCCAGCAAAACCGGATTGTGGTCTGAAATTGATTTCAATAAAAGACATTGAGAAATCTTGGGAAAACTGTTAAGGAATCTGCCACATATTAGGAAACGATCAAGTCTAACCCATGTTGAATCTTCTCTATTGCTACACCATGTGAAAGTCCCTCCTGACATGGGCAGATCAATCAAATTAGCTTGTTGCACAAATGAACTAAAAATATTTATTGAATGCCAATTCTGTGATTTCCCTAGCTTTTCTTCCGGATCAAGATACGCGTTAAAATCACCCCCTATACAAACCGGAAGATTCATCGAAATAACAAAATTCAACAATTCCCGTAAAAATCCTCCTTTTCATCTTCAATAGAAGGACCATAAACATTAATGAAAACGAACTCCTTTGGATCGTACATAAAATTCCCCACCAGTTCCAAAAACCTGCTGTAAGCATGTTGATTTGTAACTTTGAACACATTCTCATTCCACAAACTGATCAACCCACCCTTTGACCCCTGTGCTGGAGACACCATCACACCCTTTAACAGGTTTCCTCCTATCCTCCTTACAATCGACAACTGACATTGTTCGAGCTTAGTCTCTTGAATAAAAATCAGAACTAGTTTGACCTTCTTTACATGCCTTGCGACAACCACCGTCTTTTCACTCCTCCCTAAGCCTCTAATGTTCCACGAAAGAATACTTAAATTCTACATATATATGCTTCACTCCCAAACACCAAAACCGTACCCTTCAACCAACAAAACCTAAACGGCATATCAACCTTCCATTACAACCTCCGAACCCTTCTCAAGGCACAAAATTTTTTCAATAAATGCCTCCCTCCCTTCCTTGAAAGAAATACCTAACATATGACATACTTCCCATGTGGCCAATGCTTCCTCTAACAATTTAGAAAAGGTACAGGAATAAACAGTTGAAATCTCTGCCAAGTCCAAAGCTTCTGTGATTAAACCTCTTCTTCCTTCTATAATTTATTCGTGACCTTGAATCAGTAAAGGAAGTTGCTGCCACACTTTGTGAAACTTTACTGCTAATAGTAGGAACCATCGAAGTACTCTGAACAATGACAGAACTATTGATTTCCTTATCCAATCCCCTTTCCCAATTGCTTATAGAAAGCTGTTGACTATTTTCTAAGTCAATATTGTTCAGATTATGCTTTTGAATGCCCTCTGAACGATTGTTTTCCTTATCAATACCCGAACATAACAAGACTCGTCTAGCACTTGACCTTCTATAAACTCTAGCAAAGCGTCCACAACCCCTCCTTCCATCCGGAGCACTTCTTATTGACAGACATTTAGAAACCTGATAACCCAGCTTCCATCTCCTAGAACTCTTCACTTTGACTCTGCTGTTATCCTCTTGAAGCGCAGTTCCATCTATTTGCTCACCCATTACATTAACCACAGCTTCTTGTAAGCCTTCATTTAACTCCTTTCATTTAACTCCTTTATTATGTTGCATCCATCCTCATTTAATTCGGAAGGAGACTGAACCTTATTGTGATTTTGAAGCCCGTCCCATATAAACTTGACAGCAGGCCCAACAGGCACTATTTTAGAAACAGGGGAATATAACTCCCAATTAGAATCAGAATGAGCTGAAAGCCTCTGGCCCACTACTCTCTCATCCCAAGACCCGTATAATCCCTAGTGGGATCTCGCTCAAATTCAAACTTAGCTGACACCCCATTCCTGTTGGATTCCGTGTAAGAATTCTGTTTCAGACCTCCTTATAAGTTCTGCCATCCCTCAGACTATGCAGTTTCTCCAGTTGATCCTTCTGTCCACCGTAGATTTCTCTAACTGACTTGTTAGCTTCCAGCTGAAATCTTTTTTCCTTAGTTTCTCCTTTCCTCTCTTTCTTGTACTTAGCAACCCCCACTAAGACTCTCATTCCATCAATCAGCGTTCCATCAACGTTCAACACTGCTCTTCTACAGCCTTCTTCCCTTTCATATTGCACAAAAGCAAACGTGGATGATTTATAATTTGGCTTAACTATAAATCTTGGAATAAAGACCCTCACTACTCGTCCATAATGGTTGAAAATCTCTCTTAACTCAAATCTAGTAACTCTCTTACTGAGATTATCAACAAAAACAGTCCATTCCTCGTAGGGATGGCAACGGGCCGGGTTTGGGCCGGGTATTGGTCCCCCGTCCCCGTTTAAAAAACCCGTACCCATCCTCGCTTAAAAAACCGCGGGGATTTAAACAGGGATCTCCATCTGGTAATCGGGGAAAACCGCGGGGAAACGAGTATCCCTGTTTAGTATAAACAGTTATTTAAACGGGTATCGGGCCGAGTATATATATTTAAATTAAATATATAAATATTATTATATATATTTTAATTTAAATTAAATTTATTAATATTATATATATATATATATATATATATATATATATATATATAATTATTTTTAATATTTATCGGGCCGAGTAATCGGGTAATCGGGGCAGGGATTACCAAACCCATCCCCGTTTAGCATAAACGGTTTTTTCCGTCCCCGTTTATCATCCCCGAACCCAACCCGTTTAATTCGGTTTTCGGTTTTCCCCGTCGGGTTCGGGTTTTTTTACCATCCCTAATTCCTCGTCGGAGGATGACTGACCAGTTTCACTTACTCTCTTTCTCCTACCTTTCTCACTCATGTTTTTTTTTTCTATTTTGACAATTTTCTGATAATTAATTATTAAATACCAATTCTGCATTTTACTGTTGATTTATTGATTAGGCTTCAAGTGATAACCCTGCAAATTCATTATCTGCATGTAGGCTTGCTAATAAGCATTTTTCTCCTAGGCTTTTGAGCGTGGAGAAAATACTTGTTGTACGTATGTTGTCCCTGGAAGATCAGCAGACAAGTTTGATCGGTTAGATAAACTTGGTTTGTCATATAGAGTGGATGAGATGGCATTAATCCGTGCTCTTTTATCTGGAAAATTGGATCACTCTATATTGATATCGTCATCAGGTAAGTATTCATGTTATACTCCAGATAAGTGCACATATGGTTTTGTCCATAAAAATGTTTTATTTTTTAAAATTGAAAGAGCACTTATATATTAAAAAAACTGAAGTAAAAATAGAAAATTGAAGACAAAAAACAGGGATAGAAAATTTGTCTGGGTGAGGGGGAAGGAGAGAGAATAGAGTGGAAGGGGGATAGTGCCTCATGCCGGGCACATAGCATTGATCTAGCCTGAAGATTATCTAGTGTGTCGGATGGCCAAATTAGCACTGGTCAGCCATCTTTCTCTCTCTTCTCTTACTCCATCTCCCCAATTTCTATCTTTAATTTTGATTTAAAAAAAAAACTGAGTTTTTTGTTGAAAAATCCCTGCAGCTTGTATTATTTGGAGGATGGAAAGAAGATCTTAGTTATTGATGTTGAATAAGATGCATAAAATTTTGGATTAAGATGACTTTGACTTTAGGGTAAACCTTTCTTTTTCTGCTTAAACGAAGGTTCTTTAGCTGTAAAAGTTTGTAAATGATGCTTACCTACTAAAATATCCTATGATGCAGTTTTCTCTATAGTATTTTGTATTGTATTAGTTTTGCAATATTATGATCTAATATTTTTATGCACATGGTCATTCCCAAAATTTTACTGGACTCTGGAATCATCTTTTAACTTTTATTTTTGTTATTTCCTCTTATTTCTTGTTTTTCTGTTTCATTGAAATAGCATTTACTTGTAATTTATGAATATTAAGGTTAAATTTAATTAGTTATCTCTTTGCAGTTCCTGTTTCTTCTTGCTCCACAGATGAAACTGTAGTAGCTGATTTAGAAGAGGAAAATGAGACAGCTACTACAGAAGAGGAAAATGAAACAGCTACATCAGTTAATGCAAATGATACTTTTCAAAAGGAAGGAGCTCATACTTATGTGAACAGAGGATTTTCCATGGAATCCCCTAGCTATGTGAGCACAGCAGAAGTTTCTATATGTCACGAAACTAGTAAATTGGAGGGTGGCATAGTAACCTCCAAAGATGATAATTGTTGTTTGACAGCAAAAAGATATAAGGCCGACGAGGCTGAATATGGAAGTTCTAAAATTTTTTATAGCCAAGTTTTGAAAGTTAGAGATGTAAATGTAAGCTCAAAAAGTAGCTTTAAAGCTGACAATGGAGTTAAAAACTACAAGCGCTTTCGCAAGGTAACAACTTTTATGCATGCATTAAGTTTTATTCTTTTACCATGTCATCATGATTTTATGTTGCTAATTCTCCTGGATTCTGTTGAGATATTAACACACTGCCTTCTTACTTATTTTATATAATTGTTGGGACTTGGATCTGATTGTGTTAAATCGATTTTTTTTTACTAATTTCTTATGTCATCACTATGTTGCCACATCTAATTTGTCAGTTAGGAATTCCTCGCCAATACATATGAGCTGGAAAACTAGGGTTCTTTTTGAATTAATTCTACTCTCATGTGTGAATGGTTGGAATATTAACCGTTCAATTATTATTATTATTGTAGGCAAGCATTCAGTCAGGAAATAGCTTCAGCAATCTTGTTCCATTTTCAAAATATCCTTACAAGTAAGATCCTAGTTCATAGCTCTATATGGATTCCACATTATGTTTAATTGTTTGGTTTGTATAATCTTGTAATGTATTTTGTATCCGTGTGCACGGTTGTGTTTCCTTTTCCGGATCCTAGAGATTATGAATTTGGAAGTGGGGAGTTGGCTGAGTCTGTTAAGGAGGAGAAAAGGAGAAAGAAAATGGACGCCATTGCCGATGACATGTTTAATGAAAAGGTTTATGTTCTGTTTTGTTTATAATTTATTCTGGTTTTGATTTGGTGATATATATATATACATACATACATACATACATACATACATACATACATATTCCTGGTACTCGGCCTCTAATTTGATAATGTAGGGGGGAAGACAACGTGGTTTATCAGGTTCTGTTCGTCGTGGAGGACTTCATATGCGGGGTTGACAAAGGTGTATTTAGTGTAGTGCATACCTTATTGTAATCACTAGTATATAACTTTGTCAGAGGGACACATGGCATGAGTTAAAAAGAGCTTGCGTCACTGCCATGTGTATATAAATACATACATTTATATTTAGGAGAAGATATCATTTTTATGTGTCTGCAAGTTTAGTTACCCTACTGATTATTTCGGTTCTTAAAGTTATGTATTTACAGGTATGAAATAATTAAGTGTGGATATGAAAGGTGCCCACGCATGTATGTTGATATGTAAAACACATGGTAGGTAAGTAAAATGAAGCACCTTTTCATTCATATGACAGTGTCACGGACCGACCCAAACACTTGAGACCAATGCACGCTTAACCACCTAAGGGGTTTCCCACCACACATTGGGTTAAATTGGTCCATCGGAATTGGCTCGATCTTGTCCTCCTACAAGAGATTTGGTTTGTCAAGTAAATAGCAAAAGAATAATCCAGGGTTCATACCTGAACAAGGTAAAAGCGTTAACAAGTCCAATGTAGAATCACATATCTCAAGATAATCACAAAAGAAACTCAAAACAAAGCTACCAAAGATTTTAATCTAGAACTTTATCCTTTCCCTGGGAGCTACTTCCCGCCAACCTCCTCTCTTTGAGATTCCAAGAACATAAACCATAACAAAATGCATGGGTTACCAGTTAAACACTACGAAATTACTAAAGAAATGAAATTTGAAACATGGAGATGAATGATGAAGCCAGTATCTCACCTTATCTTCCAAATGTCTACAAACCCTAGCTCACGTAACTCATTTATAGTCAACCGCGGATGCATGTATACTCTAGGGTGGACATGTGTCCATCTTGAAATATGAATTTCTTTATGTTTATTATTTATTTTACTGATCGTATCCACTTGAAATTTTATTAGTGTCTATCCCATACAATTTTTTTTATTATTAATACATATATATGTCCACTCTGAAAAATATTTCTAGATTCGCCACTGTTTCTAACTTGAAATTAATAGATGAATTTTGTAGAGGATCACTCCACGAGGCTAAGTCCATTCTTGACTTGGAAAGAAAAAAAAAATCAGACTCCTAATAGCATCTCCTTGCCGGCGACATGAAAAGGAAGTGAGGAGAGGATTTTTGCTTTCTTTAGTGAATATTAATTAGGGTTATACCATTTGTATTTTTCTCTTCCGATCTTCGATGTTTCTTCCTTTTAAATATAATAAAAAATTTATATTTTAACTTTATATTTGCTTCTTCATTCAAATTTTTATCCATTTCAGTTATTTTATTATACACATGAAATTAAAAGAAAAGGGACTTCCACAATCCACTTAATTCGTTTTACTCTGGATGCCTTTTCATGCAGTATGTACAGTAAATTCCACTGAGTTCAACCTTTGCTAAAGTTGATTTCTTATGCATGGAATTCCTTGTATAATTATGATATAATCTTAGATTTGGGTCATCTCTTGTGCTCAAAAATTCATGTCGAATCTATCAATGAAGAATTCAACTCCTATTGTATTCTAAGTCTGTTCTAAAAAAATGAGACCTATTTCAAAAAGAAAAAAAACTAATTTTTGAGAATATATTGGGAAATAATTTTTTCATAACATTTTAGGACTTAATATAAAAGATGTTTAATTTATACATCTTTTCTCATTTAAGTGTCTAATATTTTTGTTCAATCTAGGTACTTAACATTACAAATGTATCCTTTTATGTGTCTCGACCGTAACAGACGTCAAAAAGTCATCTCTAAAATCCATAACTTTACAATTTTTTTTAATCTAGGTGTCTAACGTTACAAATGTACCATTTTTTAATATCATTATATTAAAAAAAAACCTTATAATTGTTTTTCAATCTAGGTGCCAAATATTACAAATGTATAATTTTTTAATATTATTATATTAAAAAACCTTATTTTCTATAAAATTATACAAAAACCCCTCAAATCCTTGAAATCCCCAACTCTAACCTTACCATCTTCCTCCCCGGTCATGACCATCGCCATCACCCTTGTCATCTCTCTTGTCAATCAGCATCTTTCTTATTGTCGCACTTGTCAACGGGTCACGTGAGTATTGCGATTTGAAGAAGTTTTATTCGTCGATTTCTAGGTTCTAAGTTGTCGGGGTGGAGGTTCAATCGACAACAAATAGAGACTACCGAATGTGGGTATAGAGATTGAAATTAAAATTTTTAAAGTTTTGGGTTTTATAAGATTTGAGAATTTTTTTGGTTTTTTAAATTATAATTTTAAGTTTTTATTTCAAATAAAATGTACAAAATTATATAAATACGACATATGTCATTTAACAAAATTTTTAACGGTTATTACAGTCGATACACTTAAAATAATAATATTTGTAATGTTAGATATTTAGAATGATAGAAAAAAGTTTATTCATCTAAATGAGAAAAAGACGTTTAATCTGATTTTTTTTATAATTAAGCCAATTTTAGGGAAAATAGGTAAACTACACAAATGATTATTAATTTTTGAGTAAGTTTTCATTTTCTCCATTAAAGTTTTAGAAGTAATAAATTGGTCACTAATGTTATCGATTTGTAACAAAATAGTCGCTCCACTGTCATCTCCGTTAAATTGATGATGTGTCAACATTAAATTTTTTTTAATATTTAGTTTACCCCTAAATTACAGCTAAAACATCAAATAAGTCCTTGAATAATGATTTTATATCAAATTTGCTTTATATTCATGAATTCATTGTATTTTTTCTAGCGTCCGTCCCTTTGTCTCCGGCACCAGCTTCGCTACGAATAGAACAGTTAATCCACATATGGTAGCAAAAATGAAGAATGTTGCTGGAAGGGGGATGGAAGCTAGACAGTATAACATAGGAGAAAGAGGTCAATATTTGTAGCCAAAATGATGAGGTGAAGTGGCCAATATCAGATGCAATCAATTTACCTGTTGAGCTCCATTTCATGAGGAAGTTAAATTCAAAGGAAATAATCCAAGAGCCTAACCAGCTAACCAATGTAACAAGGCTTCCAGCTGAACCTTTCATGTTTATGGGAAATATCTGAAATCGTAACCTTTTTTTTTTCAGTTCATATAATATAGAAGGCTGCAAAATCTAGACCAGGGTAAACTTACCTCAGACATTATAACCCAAGGTAATGCCTAACGAAAACGATCCAGTGTACACCTACATCGAGTCGAACGTGTCAACGCGAAGATGATTCCGTTCATGAAAACTACTACCTAAAACATTGATTCATTGGATTTACCAGTACAGCAACAATTCCTTCCATTGTTGAAGGTCCAGTATGCGATTGAGCTTAATGTTTTTCGGAAAAGAATATAAAACATGAAAAGCATTTTGAAATATGAGATTGATAAATCTCGTCGAACCTGCAAGAAAAATGACAATCCAACAAGGAAGCAATCCAAAATGTTCCGGCTGTAGATACCTGTAGATATAAGTAGATTTTAAGCTGGGACATTTCAATTATTATAAAGTTTTTGGGATAAATTAGATATAAGATAATTGTTCAAGGATTTATTTGATGTTTTAACAGTAGTTTAGGGGTAAAATTAAATATTTACCCTTTTTTCAACATTGACACATCATCAATTCAACGGATACGACGGTGGAATGACTATTTATTATAAATCAATAACATTAGTGACCAATTTATTATTTTTAAAACTTAAATGAAATATAATAACTTTCTTAAAAATTAGTGACTATTTGTGTAGTTTACTCATAGTTTTATGACCGAGATTATTATATGATTTTTTTCGGACAACAAAATTTGTATTTGTAAGAAATTAGGACTATGACAGTGACGTGTGAGCAGCAAATTAAAGAGTGAATTCATCGCTCTTATCAGCAAGCACCGGGAAAAAAAAATGGGTGGCTGCACCTGCTTTACCTTTACATCTTCCCCACCAATTTTCTCCTTTTATGATCATAAAAATATTCGCTTCTCCTCCTCCTCTTCTTCTTCTCTATCATGGTCATTCTCATCAGCTTCCCACAATTTCTCTCTGAAACTATCCAATATCGTCAATGCCAAAACCACTCGTTTCAGAACAAATTGCAAACCCAAAGATCCCGATGTAATGGAGTGCGTAGGAACGGGCCTGGACGTCGAGTGCCTCGTTACTCAAAACGAAACCCAAGAACCTGAACCAGAAGATGTCGAAAAGGCGGAAGGCAACGTTTTCTTGGAGTGGGCGGTGCTGGTTTCCCCGTTCTTCTTCTGGGGCACGGCTATGGTGGCGATGAAGGAGGTGTTACCCAAGGCAGGCCCTTTCTTTGTGGCTTCCTTTCGTTTGATTCCTGCGGGGTTGTTATTGGTGGCGTTTGCCAAGTCCAAGGGCAAACCTTTACCCTCTGGACTCAATGCGTGGCTTTCCATTGCGCTCTTCGCTCTCGTGGACGCCACTTTTTTCCAGGTCTTTGCTTTCTCATGTCCTTTTTTCATTTCTTCCCAAGCAGGAAAAAAATGGGGTCTGGTTACATATGTATATGTTAATACTTGTTGAGTTCATCTCCAGGGGTTTCTTGCTCAAGGATTGCAAAGGACATCTGCAGGTCTGGGCAGTGTATGTTTTTTCCATTTCTTTTCTATTATTTTCTCTCCACTCATTCTGATTTGTTAGTAATGGAGTCAATTTGTTTGATGATTGATGCAGGTGATAATTGACTCTCAGCCATTGACAGTGGCTGTTCTTGCCGCCCTTTTATTCAATGAATCCATTGGCTTAGTAGGAGCTGCTGGACTAGTCCTTGGGGTTGTTGGGCTTCTTCTTTTGGAGGTAAACCGTAACCCCATATTTATTATCAGACTTCAAGCTATGGTTTATCTGATATTTATTAATATTCTTCTTAGAAATATCTTCAACCAATTGCATGTTAGTGATTGAAGGAGAATTTGATGATTTCTGGCGTGCTTTTGGTGTTACTGGAAAACAGATAGATTAACACTGACAAGTACAAGATAATAAAACATATAAGTAGAAGATGTTATTGCGCCATGGTGGCCAAGGTAGTCCAGTGCCTTAGACTTGGCATGCTCGGACAAATAATTTGCCTTTTGGTTAGCAGGAATCCCTTGGAATTAGGAGGAATTAGGCGGAATTAGAATCCAATTCCACCACTTTCCCATGTTTAGTTCAAGTTTTCAAAAGGGAATTGGAATCCTTCATGACTTCAATTTTTCATCAAACGAGGCAAAGTGAATTTCATCCATTTTATGATGGAATTCAATTCCCTTGTTGGAGGGAATTGAAATTTGACCATATTACCCTCATCAATCTGTTGGTAACTTTTTTATATATTGAATAAAAATATTTTTTTATTATTTCGGGTCGGGTCGGGTGAAACTTTATTTTAGTCGGGTTGGGTTTTTTTAAGTGTGATATTCGGGTCGGGTCGAGTTCGGGTTTCGGGTGAAAAATACCCGACCTGACCTGAAAATATATATAATTTTACCTTATATATTTAGGAATAATTACAATAATACCCCTCTATATATAATTTTTTTTTCAATTAAGTCACTGTTTTATTGAATAAAAATATTTTTTATTATTTCGGGTCGGGTCAGTTTTTTTAAGTGTGATATTTGGGTCGAGTCGAGTTCGGGTTTCGGGTGAAAAATACCCGACCCGAAAATATATATAATTTTATCTTATATATTTATGAATAATTACAATAATACCTCTCTATATATAATTTTTTTCAATTAAGTAACTGTTTTTATTGAATAAAAATAATTTTTTTATTATTTCGGGTCGGGTTGGATTTCTAATTCGTATATTCAGGTCGGGTCGGGTGAAACTTTATTTTGGTCGGGTCGGGTCGTTTTTTTAAGTGTGATATTCGGGTCGGGTTCGGGTTTGGGTTTAGGGTGAAAAATATTCGACCCGACCCGACAAAAAAAATATATAATTTTACCTTGTATATTTAGGAATAATTATAATATTACCTCTCTATATATAATTTTTTTTCAATTAATATATAATTTTTTTTCAATTAAGTCAATGTTTTTATTGAATAAAAATATTTTTTTTATTATTTCGGGTCGGTCGGGTTTCTAATTCAAATATTCGGGTCGGGTCGGGTGAAACTTTATTTTGGTTGGGACAGGACGGGTCGGGTAGACCAAAAACCCAACCCAACCCGACCCATGGTCATCTCTAATTGGGATGATTTTAACTTATAATGTTTATTAGCATGATTTTTATAATTTATTGAAATAAATAATCAATCAATAAAATTAAAATTTTATATTTTTTAAAATTTTATAATATATTGCTACATGTAATTTATAAAACAAACTAAAATTAAGCAAAAAAAAAATAAAAATAAGAAGAGCAATTCTGTCATTTTACATTACTGAAATCAAATTCATCTTACATGTCTGCAAATCAAACAAAATATGAAATTAGATTTCAATTCAATTTACTGCCAACAAAACAGAATATGGAATTGGATTCTAACTCCTGACAGATTTCAATTCCTTCACAGATTCCAATTCCCTCAGAAACATTCAAGCGAACTAAACGCCACCTAAATGTAAAGTTTTAACATAAAGTAGATGATTATTCAATTGTCATTGAATACTAGGTATTAGCAAACTTGATACGGCAATTTGAGAAGGTTGATTATTCAAATTAAAACTACTTTATACTGGTTTGATTGCCGTGACAAACATGACCTTGTAATGATAATATGTGTAATTTATGTAGGGCGGCTTACTTGATTATTCCCTTTTATGTTAATTATAAAAATTATAAAATTATTTGTAGAAATTTAAAAATCATGAAAATTATAAAAATGATAGAAAATTATAAACATAAAATAAAAATTATTGAAATTTTGAATAGAAAATTATTGAAATTTAAAAAACTTAATCTTTCCTTAATCACTATTTGACCAATTTTTTAATCTTGTGTAAATTGGGTAATGCCCATTCCCGGGTAGCACTAAGTAATAACTTGTACCTTGGGGTTTCAAAATATGTTAAAGTATGCTCCAAGACCATGTACTCTTCGTACAATTGAAATTTAGTCCTATTTTTATTTCTAGGAATTTAGTCCCTTATATTTCAGATTTAAAAATTCAAACCCAATTGTTAACATTGTTAAGATTCTTATGTTAAATTGGCTGATGGGACATTTTGAAATGGAAAATACTTACTTGGCATCCATGTAACCCAAAAAATGAAGTTGTAATGGGCCTGAATATAAGAGAAAATTTTAATTTTTAAATCAAGAAAGTAAAGGGACTAAATTCCTGGAAATATATGTAGGGGATTAAATTCCAAATGTACCAAGAGTACATGGACTTAAAGCATATTTTAACCTTCAAAATATTGTCATCTTACAATCCAATCTTAAAATAAATTTGAACTTATTCTATTTATTTTCATATTTTCAAGTAAAAACCTCAGCACTTCCTGATATTGTAACTTAGCAACTCAAAGATTTGCACTTCATAAATTAGTACCTAAAATTTTCATGATTATAAATATGTAATGCCAAAATATCATCAGCATTTTCTGTCGGATGATTTGCTCTACTCCCAGGGTGTGTCTAAACCTTTTAGAATGGGTTGATGTGAATGAATGATATTAAATACTCTTGATTGTTACCCACTAAAGAGTGACATTTTTGGGTTGACCATATTGCCCACCATTTGTATAGTGTAGTGAATAGAAATCATGAACTTTCAATCATGAAAGAATGGTCTTGTTTGCATATTCACCTTAGCAAACAAAAATGTTCAGAAATTTGTACCATTTCAGGACTTGTGTATGTAAAACTTTGTTGAACTTTCAGTTATGAAAGAAGGTCTTGTTTGCATATTTGCCTCATAAATGTTCAGAAATTTGTAGACAATTTCAGAACTTTTGGGGAGCTTGTTGTTGACCTATTTAACTCTTTGTTTTGTAAATACAGTAATTTTCTTTTTCTTTATTCGTTGTGAACCCTGGTTTCTTCATTGTTTCTGTAAGTGTGAGATCCAAGTTCATTTCTTTGAACAGTTATCAATATTCACAATTGTTATAAAAGATGTGTTTGTTGTTTAATGCTGTATATTGTAATTAGTTTTGATCTAAGGATAATTTCTTTTATTTTGGGCTTTGGCGAAAGCAAATAAGCTTTTTCATGTATTTTGCTTTAGTATGAAATGAGCAGTATTTTTGCAGGTACCAGCACTTGATTTAGATGAAAGTAATTTTTCACTATGGGGAAGTGGAGAGTGGTGGATGCTCCTTGCTGCTCAGAGCATGGCAGTCGGAACAGTAATGGTCCGCTGGGTTTCCAAATACTCTGATCCTATCATGGCAACTGGATGGGTAGGCATCCCATTTTTCTGTATCAGAAACTTTGTTATTTATCTGTGCTTCCTACTGATGCTTCTCAAAAACTTCAAAAAATGTCTAGTTTTTCCCCCAGGGATACCTTTATTTTGTTTACTTGTTTTGTTTATTTTTTGGTTTCTTTCCAACAAGATAATCGGCAGCATGCTAGGCATAAGATGAGAGAACTATGAGATAATAAATTGTCATTTAGGAAATCAAATAAGCAAGTCATCATCGTCTAAGATCTCAAGTTTTGTTTGTGCAAATTAACCCCATTGACTTCTCAGCTTGCTGCTGGCTTTTATCATATTCGCATCTTCTTCGCTTTACCCTTCAAAACCTTATCCTTCTTCCTTAAGATTGTGTACTTGAGGATCGAGTCCTCCCATACTAGGAGGATGACTAATCTGACTGCACTCTGATCCTCATAGTTACCATCCTATCGTGTTTAACATCCGGCATTTTCACCCATTGATATTAGGGGGTGTTTGGTTTAAGGAATGTGGGATTCCTATGTTTGGTTGGCCGAAGATCTCATTCCTGGTAATGTTTTATTACCAATAGTAGATTTTTTGGGTATATTACAGGGAATGTCATTACCTCCCTTCCCTTAGGTATTGTAACATTACCGGCGTTTTGAACTAAAATGCCCTTAAATTTTTATTTTTTTTTCAAAAATATCATTCTTCTGTCATTGAATAATAAAAATTTTACGAAAGTTAAATTACAAATTTATCCTCAAATTATTTTAGATTTACAAAAAAAAAAATCTATAATTAAAATTTTATATGAAGTTCAGGGGTTAAAAATTTTTTTACCCTTTCATTAAAACTTTTTTATATTTTTAATTTTGTAAAAAAATTTATATAAATATTATGAATTTAATTTTTAAAGAAAATATATAAACATTTTATAATTTGTAATATTATACAAATATATAATAAGAATAATTTGGTCAAATATACATTCCAATAATATTTTATTCCTTTAACCAAACACGGTAATCTTGCCTTCTTGCTAAACCAATCAAACACAAAATACAACATTCCCAGTAATCCTATTCCCTGGTAATCTTTTATTCCCACTGGTAATCTTACATTCCGTGAACCAAACGCACCCTTAGTAGTGTCATAATATCCGGCTGCTAGTGAATTGATTGCATGATTGGAACAGGAACTATTTTTTGTGAAAGATAACTAGACAACCTCTATGATAGATGGAAATCGAAGACTAACGTATAATGTGTAATCTTATCGCAGCATATGGTAATCGGTGGTCTTCCACTTCTTGGAATTTCTATTCTCAGTTGTGATCCTATTTTTAGTGGGAGTTTTCAGGAGCTTTCTGTCAATGATTTGTTGGCACTCTTTTATACATCAATCTTTGGAAGTGCCGTAAGCTATGGTGTATTCTTCTACAGTGCAACAAAAGGTTAAGTTTCACTTGAATCCAAACATGTTTTTATATCTTCTGTCCGTGTGTGTGTTTTTTCTTGGTCGCAGGAAGTTGCTCCTTGCTTTAATTCGACTCAGGTTTACCAATGGATTTCAGGTAGTCTGACGAAGCTCAGCTCCCTCACCTTCTTGACACCTATGTTCGCTTCAATTTTTGGGTAAGATATTGCATATTGCGCAAGGTTCACTATAGGATTCCACCCTTAAAGCTTAAAGGGAATCTGTTTACTTGCATATTTTCCAACATGAAACAAAATTTTCTGGTTCTTTGTAATTTGGTTCACTGCTAATGTTATGATTCAGGTTTTTATACCTCGGCGAGACCTTCTCACCCCTGCAACTAGTCGGTGCCGTTGTCACCGTAGTTGCCATATACATGGTTAACTTTCGAGACAGAAGTTTGCAGTGAAGAACATGCTCGGTGAAAATACGTATACAAGACATGTCGAAAAATGAGAATGAAGTTAAAGTTCGACTGATTGAGGCGTGTTTCGGAGCCAGACAGATATCGTTTTGTGGGTTATGGTTGATGGAGCATGTTGTTTGAGATCCCTTGCTAAGATATTGAAGCAATTACTATCTGTAAATATATTTTGTCAGTATGATTAAGCTAAGAATTTCAATGGAGACTACATTGGCGTTGCCTTGCAAGAAGATACCAATTATTGAATCTAGGCCTGTTTGAGGGTTAGGTTATTCATAAAAGTTTTTAGGTTCTATTTAATAAGTGTAAACTTATCAAATGACCGCACGGGATTGGTGTCGATATGATTGTCGTAACCGGTTTTCGTCCGGGCACGAAATATTATACTTGGCGGGTAAATTGATGTGAATAAATGGTTTTGAAAATAATTTGGGAGTCGCCATCGGCCTTTTGGGTCAGGTAGGTCGAATACCTAAAAAAATATCTTTTAAAAGAGTTTTTAAGAAAACATCAATTAAAAGATAAACTGATCTGCATTTTAACCAAAAATTTGTCTTTTTAATAATAAAAAGGGATTCGTTGTCGGTTATGTTTAGGGAAGGATTAGCACCCCTACAACGCCCAAAATTGGTATTTTTTAATTATAAATTGTCTCTATTATTAAAAATTCAAAATATATTTAATTTAAATTTATATTATTTCAAAATTAAAATATATTTAGAAATATTGGAAAAGAACTTCTAGGTATCTTAAGACAGCTCTCTTCTTTGATATTAATAAATAAAAATATATTAAAATTTTAATATTTTAAATAAAACTAAATTATAATTTTTATAATATTTAATCATTTAAAATACCAGAATAGGACATCCAGTTATATTAAGACTGCCCTTTTCTTTGATATCGAAAATAAATAAACATTATTATTTAAAATATATATATATATTTATATGACTAAGATAATAATAATAATTAAAGCAATAAAAATATAAAAGTAATAACAAAATAATATTGTAATTAAATAATGATCAAAATAAAAGAAATTCAAAAATTATAAAACTAAATATAAAGTATTAAAAATAAAGGTAATAATTCGAAATATTATGAAAGATAATGATTAATAGTGTAATTTAACCTAATTAATTAATACGTGATTAAAATAATAATTAATAAACTATGAGGGACTAAATTTGATATTTTCCTAAATATATATAAATACAGTTAATGGTTAAAATATAATAAAATAAAATTTAAACACTAAATTAAAATGATTAAAAGTTAATTTCAGTGACTAAATTGCAAAGTTACAGAACTATAAGGGTTGCAGAAAGGGTTTACCCTTTCTTAAATTACACAGATACCCTCCCCAGAACGACGTCGTTCGGGGAGGGTTTTAAATACCCTAAATGCCTGGCCCGAAGGGCCAAGCTTCTCATTTGCCTCATTTCTTTCTCTCTCAAAACGAGAGAACCAGAGTTCTCTCTGGTTTCTCTCTAGTTTCCCTCGCCGGAGGGAAACCGGCAGCCATAGGCCACCGTACTCCGCCGCCGGCCACCGTAACGGTGGTCGAAATTTACCAAAAACACCCCCAAAGCGTAGATCTAAACGCTCTAAGACCGATTCAGGTCTTTGTTTTCCCTAAAAGACTCCTAATCGGAGTAAATCTATGAAAATACCTTCGGTATTTTCTGTTCTCCGGCGATGTTTAGTGCTTCCGACGGTGGTCAAAGCTCCAAGGGTAAGTTTCTTTCTTCTTTCTTTGTTTTCTGTTTTGGTTTTATGTTGGTTGTGGGTTCGTTTCTGTTCGGTTCTTTCCTCTCTGTTTTTTTTTTCGTTCTATTTTTTTTTTGTCGTTCTCTGCTGTGTGTGGCTGTCTCATTTCTTTCTTGCAGGTGGGGTGGCTTTTATAGCCACCAACGAAGCTCTCGTTGGACCGGTTCCAGAGATGAGTTCTGGTGAGTCACCAAACTATGTGGTGACTCACCCCATAGCTGCGACGTGGACGGCCGGCGTGGTGTTTCTGGAGTCTTCGAAGAGGCGGTGGTGTCGTGGCTACAGCGGGGTGGAACACCTGAAGGCGGCAGCTAGGGTTTGAAAACCCTAGGATTTTCAATCTGGAACCCTTTTGGGCCGTTGGATCTTGCCAGATCCAACGGCTGATGATGCTGACGGCGGCTGGCCTTCTGGGATCTTGGAAACAGCTGGGGGCTAGGGTTTAAAAACCCTAGATGAAACCCTAAATCAGTTTAGGGTTTCCATTTGGGGTATGAGTCGGTTCTGGTTGGGCCTGGGATTTGGGCTTGTAAAACGGGCTTCAAGTTTTGTAATTATTTATTAAATAATAATATATAATATTAATAATAATAAATAATAATAATAATAATTATTATAATAATAATAATACTAATAATAATAATAATACTACTAATAATAATAATAATAATAATTTTAATAATAATAACTTTAAATGAAAAAAATTGATGTCTACAGCTGCCCCTCTTTGCTCATCCTTGTGTTAACAAGAATAGAGCAAAGACGAAAAAGACAATAATTTTTTCATTTGGCTTTTGTTTGAGCAGGATGGAAATGTTGAAAACATCATGCACTGAAGGACTTACAGATGACCCGAAGGCTTTGAAAACATCAAAAAGCTCCCGAAGGCTTTTTTGGAAACATCATGCACTGTAGGACTTACAGATGACCCGAAGGATTTGAAAACATCAAAAAGCTCCCGAAGGCTTTTTGGAAACATCATGCACTGAAGGACTTACAGATGACCCGAAGGCTTTGAAAACATCAAAAAGCTCCCGAAGGCTTTTTGGAAACATCATGCACTGAAGGACTTACAGATGACCCGAAGGATTTGAAAACATCAAAAAGCTCCCGAAGGCTTTTTGGAAACATCATGCACTGAAGGGCTTACAGATGACCCGAAGGATTTGAAAACATCAAAAAGCTCCCGAAGGCTTTTTGGAAACATCATGCACTGAAGGGCTTACAGATGACCCGAAGGATTTGAAAACATCAAAAAGCTCCCGAAGGCTTTTTGGAAACATCATGCACTGAAGGACTTACAGATGACCCGAAGGATTTGAAAACATCAAAAAGCTCCCGAAGGCTTTTTAGAAACATCATGCACTGAAGGACTTACAGATGACCCGAAGGATTTGAAAACATCAAAAAGCTCCCGAAGGCTTTTTAGAAACATCATGCACTGAAGGACTTACAGATGACCCGAAGGATTTGAAAACATCAAAAAGCTCCCGAAGGCTTTTTGGAAACATCATGCACTGAAGGACTTACAGATGACCCGAAGGATTTGAAAACATCAAAAAGCTCCCGAAGGCTTTTTGGAAACATGATGCACTGAAGGACTTACAGATGTGAGAAATAGTTTACTAAGTAAGAAACTATGGAAATTGTTTTCTTACTATTCAACAATTTCATTTTCAGAAAAGATTGAATGAGAAACTATGGAAATCGTTTTCTCATTATTTTTCAAAATAACATGTTGATTGGGTAACATGCCCCAATTCTCAAGATACTACTCATTCTTGTGGATTGCGTCCATCTCTTCTTCAGATGTTTGCGTGATTCCTATATTTTTGGTTTTGAATACCTTCTTCTTGTAAGGTATTTTTTACGTTCTTCGTTCTTCCGAAGATCTGTAAAACTTCATGTTTGAATGCACTCATATGTATCAATGTAATGCATTGTTTATTGTGTAAATGATGTTTTTATGAATGCATGAATGTTGATGCAATTTTTATTTGACTTTAAAGTGGTGAACTTGGTCTTCATTCACTTCATCATTTATTGCCAGGATTACCTCTAGATATCAGTGTAGAAACTTATGCTATCAAGCTTGCATTCATGCAGAATCATCTGATCAACTTATATCTTTGCTGTCTTCTTTGCTTCATGAAAGTCTCAGAAGAAATGTTTCATTTGTGGAACTCTTGCTGTAGTCAGTGCTATGACTTTGATGCCCCATCTTGTCTTGGATAAAACCAACTTTCTTTGCTTGAACTTGTGTAGAAATCCCATAAAATTTTCATCTTTGGAAAGAGAATCTGTCATCTTTAAAAAGAGAATCCATCATCTTTGAAGAGTGTAGATGTAGATATGCCTGACTCAGCAGGGATTAATTAGGAGAGTAGAGTCTGATCTGATTTAATTCTTGAAACATATCACAAGGAGGATTTATTCTAATTCCTTTCATGTCTCCACATCTAATTGGATCTCGAACAAAACAACTTAAACCATATCATGTAAAGATGTTTAACAACAACCTATTATTTGATCTTATTTGGCTCAACTAGTTTCTTGTTATCAAAATTTTCAGCTTTCCTTGGAAAGGAATCTTCATTATATCCCACTTTTAATCTTGGGGTTGAAGAAGACTAACTTCATCTTGGATCAATAAATGGAAACCATATGATCGTAACATTGGTTCGGCATCAGAATAGCAGGTTCGTAAAACATTTGATAGTGCATTCATCCTTTACTGTGGCTTCTGCTCAGATGTTCGTAAAACATTTGACAATACATTCATCCTTTCCTGTGGTTTCTGTTTAGATGTTCGTAAAACATTTGACAACATATTCATTTTTTTGTGGCTTCTGCTCAGATGTTCTCAAACATTGAATCTCTTTGCCTAGTGTCCAAAGCTTTTGAATGATGTCACAAGACCATTTGAGAACAAAAAACTCAGTGGGGATTCAAGTGTAATGTTGGTATGACCAAAAAGTTGGTCAAATTCACAAGATATGCTGGTGTTGAATTGAATAGGAGACACTAACTGATCTTGATATCATCTCGGGTAAAGACAAATGTGATACTGATCACATTTTCTTCTATAATGATCTTTGTAGGAAGTAGAAACACATCAACTGTAGGATCAATGTACAGAAAGATATCCGTGGAATTTTTGCAGCTGGGGATGAAATACAAATGATAAAACCAAAATAGATGAAAACTCAGTTCATCTTGGCTAGCAATGATGATCCCAAATAACAACGGGAATAAT